CTGGTTGATCATTACTTTAGTTCTGGTTTGTCAGGTGACTCAGGAGAAGCCCCTATCATTTAATGATTGTTTCTGCTTGAGGTAATCTCAGTTTTGCAGAGGCTCTGATAGAATCCCAGATGACTGTGGCAATCCTGGGAACTTCCGGGTGGTCATTGGTAGTTGAATGTCCTGTAAATCTGTTTTCCTGCTCTCCTCAATCTTGAGGTTATGTAAGTTTATGAGTAATCCATCCAGTATGCAGAGCTGACCAGGAATCTTGCCTTTGCCAAGCAGGTGCTGTGCCACTGAGCTACATTCCTCAAATTGTAAGGTGAAGGAGGAAACATGCACAAAATGAGGGTCAAGCTTTATTCTTTTAGATACCCACTGGGCAACTTTAGGCTCAAGCAAAGAGTCACTGTATGTGTGAGCGTGCATGCATGTGTGTGTGTGTGTGCACACACGTGCATGTTAGCAAAAGCTTTCAAGTCCCTGAAGAACTTAAGAGAAAACACAAATAATGTTTCTAATAAGTAACAGATTAAGGGCCCAAGAATTTGTTTGCCCTTTGTCCCTCTGGTGGTCTCTGTCTGTCTCAGTAATAGAACACTTGACTAACAACTTAAACAAAGAGAGGTTTAGTTTTCTCTCTTAGCAGTTCAGAGGTCTACATATGCTGGTATTGGTTTAGCTAACCAGTGATGGCAGCAATTCTTCGAGTCTTTCTACTCTGCCATTTTATGTTTGTTTCTTCTTGGTTACAGAGTAGTTGCTGCAGATGCAAACCTCATGTCCACATTCAAACTAGGAAGAAGGTGTCACATGGCTAACACTATCTGCATGGGAGATCAGGGAAGTTATTAGCTGTGCACATTGACAGAGGAGTTCCCTTAGTAGGGAAGAAAGACTGTATACCATACCAAATTTTCTGTTTCTTCTGGTAATAATATATATATATATATATTTTTTGGTACCAGGGATCGAACTCGGGTCCTTGTGCTTGTGCAGCAGGCAGCGAAACCACTGACCTAAATCCCCGGTCCTCTTCTGGTAATAATATTGATTAATTTCTTTTTACCACCAACGTAATCCTTTTACTATTTGAATGGTAGGAAACTAGATGTCTTATAAATGGAGTATTAGAAAGTATCCGACATGTTTTGCTTCTAGATAAGGAAATGGAGCCATTCTTAGAGGTAGTTTCTGGGAATAAGTTTTAGGAAAAACCAAGAGTGTTTGAATAAACTTATTTTGAGTCATTTATTGAAATGTTAGCAAGCTTGGGAAAGTACCTAAAACAAATATTGCAAAGGACTTATATCCCTAATTTTAAAGAGCTCTTACATATGAGCAATACAAACCTTGTCCAAGTAAAGCTAAGGTTTATGCTTTTACATACCAAATTGTTCATATAAAGAAATCCACCTTACTTTCTTGTTACTGGGACAAAATATTCAATACCTACAATTTAGAGGAGGGGAGGCTTATTTGGCTTACATTTCAGAGACCGTGTTCAGCTGGCTCCAGGCCAGACATGGCGTAGTGGAAGAGTCTGGCGGAAGAAAGCTGCTCACATCATGATGTCCAGGAAGCAGAGAGAAGGGAGGAGCCCAGGTGGCGGACAGACCCTTCCAGGTGGTCTCCCTCAGCGACCCACTTCTGCTCGCCAGCACCTTTAGCTATGGATTCCTCAGTGGACTAAGCCACAGATGTGCATAGTACCCTCCATGATCCAATCACCTTCCAAAAGCCCAGTCTCTGAACACATGAGTCTTTTGGGGCATATTCCGGAAACCTGATCCTGTGTTGTCACCAGCACCTGGTGACATGGTCCTTTGCTACTGGTGAGAGTATACACTGGGTATATAAAAATATAAACAGCCTTAAAACAGTAGTGTGCTTATCCTAAGACTCAGCTCCAGAGAAACTTTCCTAATGAAATAATTTAGAATTGGGGGTCACCTGTTCTATCTGAGCATGGTTTTTCTAGAAATATTCATTTGCACAAAATTATTTGGAAAAATAAGTATCTTTAGAGAATAGTTATGTTCTGTATGAACTCTCCATAGTCTCAATATACTACTAAGTTAAAAAATAAGAATGCAGACTGTTTATATCATATTAATTCCATTTGCTCACATAGAGAAGTATTCATTCACTTTCAAGAAATAGTGTATGTCAGATAGCACCAATAGATATTTGTGGATATAGGGCTACATGTCATTATTTTATAAATTCTTCTTAATATTGTCAAATTTTCCTACAAGGAATATAGATTATTTTTATAAGTACAAAATTTTGGCTTTATTTCTTAAAAGATGAAGTAAAAATGAGCATTACTGAGAACCTATTTAGAAAGAAGTGGAGAGTGAGAAGTTGCTTTGACCCAGGGCTTTGGGCGGGGCTGTTCAGCAGTGGAGAAGAATGTCACATTGATGGAGGAGGAAAGGTGTTAGCCCACGTTTTGCTCTCTGGAGTTCTGGCTTTTCTCAGTCCTGCCATGAAGGGAATCTTTAGAGGAAGTTGTCACAATGGTCCATTCTTCTTCATTCACGAAAATCGTGATGATTCTATTTTTCTCTTCTTAGAAGGCTTTCTGTTCCTCTTTTCTATGATACGGACAGGGCTGAGGTCATGGGAGCTGTAGCTTCGTGCAGGAAGGGAATGGGGCTCATATAAAGAAGCAGTTTGTCTTTATTTATGCAGATACCCAGAGCTAAGTCATGCAAGCCTGGTGAGATCAGAGTCTCAGCATATAAGTAACTCTTCCGTTCAGTGCGAATAGAAAGCGAGGTCTCCATATTTTTCAACAAGTTCTCCAGATTTCCCATCTACCCAGAAAACAGTCAGCCTTGAAAACTAGAGATCAGAAATGCCAGCGCTGGTCAGCCTATTCTTGCCTTACCTGCTGTCAGTATTTTCTTGCTTGGTGCCTACTTTGTAAGGCAGGTAAAGCCTTACAGTGACTGGGGCTGGCATTATTCATCTTTAGTTTTCAAGGCTGATTATTTTTTGGTTAGGTCTTATTTTGGGGGAAACAGGGTAACTGTCTCTCCTCCAAAGCCTGTGGATTGAAACGTGTGTATGACTGTGAACATATGAGCACATGTTACTTTCACCATCTTCCCTTAATTTAGTGTTTTTGTGGCCACAGTGGGCAGACAGGAGGACTATTTCCCCTGCAGTCTTTTGTTACATCCCAAAGTCAGCCTTTCTCTCAGGTACCCATGGTATGACACATGAGGGTTCCAGAAATACTCGATTGTCATTTGTTCCTTGGAAACCCTGGTACAAGCCACATGCTTTTAGAGCTACAAGATCCTTAAGGATTCACTTTCAATTTTACTTTGCATTTCTTGCCAAGGACTTTCACAGACATGTGAGATTCCTAAACTGGGACACGGTTAGCCCTGGGTTATGCCAGCTGAGTTGGGGGCCCTTAAAGCTTGAGCATCTCTAAAAGATTCAGCATGTCTGTCCCTTGACTTCATGTGAGTCCCTGTCATGGTGTTTAAGGAGCAGGGTTCATTTGTGAATGGTTCGCCAACAGCAGGACGTTGGAATATGGAAGCATGAGTTCCTCTAAGAGTTTCATTTTTATGCATTTGTTTCACTCGCTTTCTTTGCATTTAAATTAATCTCATTAACCTTTCAGCAGGATGAGGGTCAGGAATAGGAAGCTGCCATTGTACAGAGGGTGAAATATGCAGTGGGCCTTATTGCAATTCAAGACAAGGATGTGACTTCACATGAGAACAGCCATCCTCTCTTGTACTTAGAAGCCAGCAGTGACCTTCTTCCAAACAACAGAAACTCATGTTATTTGAGGCAGATGTTTCTTCCCCTTTTTGGTCCTTTATACACAATCAAAAGCCATTGTTGAAACATTCTCTGTCTTGGGTTTGATTAAAAAAAACCAAAATGGTGTTGGGTCTCATGATGCCCTGTGGATATTTAAAATCCAGCCCCTCAGCAGAGCACTAGCCACTTACCCAGGTCATCTGATAAGCACCTCAAACTCTATTTGCCCAGAATACAATCCTTGATCGGCCCCCACAGCCCATAAATTAACTCTTCCCCAAGTTTCTCTGTTTGAGAAGGGGTCTCCCGTCTACCTGGATGTCCAAGCAAAACTTCACTTCTTCAGTTATCCCCCATTCTTTGCTTCCCTTTACCCCACAGCTGCCAGCAATTCTGTTGGCCTTGCCTCCAAATTATGTCCCTAAGCCTCTGATGTTTCCCATCACGGTTATCGCCTTCCTTGAAGAAGTCTTTTAAGGCCCCTCTTTGTGATCTATTTTCTACCAAGCAGGAAGAATCATCTTTCCTAAAATACTGATCAGATATGGTTATGCCTAAACCGTGTGCCTACTCAGGCCTGGTTCTTCCCTTGTTTAATGCCATTCATTAGTTTTCCATAGCAACAAGAATAGAATATTTACCCCTTAGTCTGGTTTAAAAAGTTGTTTGGGGGGCCGGGGATTTAGCTCAGTGGCCGCCGCCTGCATCACAAGCACAAGGTCCCGATTTCAATCTCCAGTACCAAAAAGAAAAAAGAAGCCCTTTGGGGGGCTCGTCCCCAAACCAGTATAACCTCACCACCTGTTACCGCCTTTCACATCCACAGTTCCCAGCCCCAAGCCGTCGGCCTGAGAGTCTTCCTCCTTCCAGAGTGAGCTTTCCTGGTCTTCCTCCCATGGCTGGCTCCTAACATTCAGATAAAACCAGATATCCTGGTAAATGTTACCCCTCTTAGAGGCCTTTCCTGCCCATCCAATGACATAAACATCCACCAGGGCACCATTTACCACATTACCCTTCTAGAACATACAACTGTTCCTCCCACCAGTGCCTACCGCAGAATCTGAGATCCATTGGACACCATTGTGTCGCCAAGACCCCAGAGGAGTTCTTTTGCGTGGGCTCCATCATCAGCTGTTTTTCTTTTGATGTGGAATCTAGCTTTCTCTCAACCTTGGTACCAATAGATTATTTTCCTACCTGTTTTGTTTTTATAGCAGAGTGGACTTTATGAGTATAAAGTCTTTGGTATTTTAAAGGACTGCTCACCAGCTCTACTCGCAGATGTCTACATGGATTTAGACTACAGAAAACAGTGGGATCAGTATGTTAAAGGTAAGTGCTGCCTACTTTATTAATGAAAACTTAGAAATTAGAACCTACTCTTGTTGACACTAGCAAGTAGAAAGGAACAGATTTCATTTCTGCTATGTTGTGCTTCCTTTTACATTTTGGCACAAAAGTCTTTTGAATGTGGGTCTGAAATACAGCTTAGCTGGTCCTGGCCCTTCCTCCTGAAGTGCTCTTAGATCACCTCTGCATCTTGCTTTTGGAGCTGGTTTGCTTTGCCTGTGAAGCTGTGTTCTCATCCCATGTGCCAGCGTGGTCATGGAAGGATCCACGGAAGAGGTGGTGTCCAAGCTTTGCGAGTTGAACCAAATCTTTCTAAACAGGCAGGAATGCACATATGTGAGGAGGTCGGGGTGGTGGTGGTGGTGAATGGTCTGAGGGTGTCCTCAGAACAGTGGGAGTGAGGTCAGGAAAGCAGGAAGCGGTGTGTTCACCAAGCACCAGCAGTTTGGTGTTGGCCCAACTAGCAGAACTATCCCCAGCTCCTGTACTACTTCAAAGTGTGGTGCTGCTCCTAGGAACCCAGGGCAGGAGGAGGGACCAGGTCCCCGGAGCCCAGCATGGCCTCCTGGCTACCGATCTTAGAAGGGCATTAAACAGGGGCTCCCCTGCCACTAGAGCTGGGAGAGGCCTCTGCCATCTGAGCAGTAGTGGAGTTGACCTGGAGAGCTAGCCACACCCAGTCTTTAGTGAGAACTCCTGGCTGCATCCAACAAAAAGCCAACCAAAGACAATATAAAGAAAAGAAAAAGAGTTTACTGCTTTATGGCATTAGGAAGTTCAGAGCTTTCCAGCTCCTAGGACAGCTGTTTCTGAATTAATTCCAAACATCAGAATGTTTCCTTCTCCAGCTCAAGACTGTGTTCATCTAGTTCTAAGATTTTGTCTGGGCAAAATGGCTTCTAGAAGATCCAGGCTTATATTGTAACTAACCAATGACCCCAGAGGAAAGAGAATTCTAGCACTGGCAGCCAGAGTGTCAGGATTGACTCTGGGCAGCTCGGCTTCAAGCATGTGTTTATTTCTTGTGGACATTTGTCATGGTTCTGGGCAACGTGTTTCTAGATGCCTTCCTATGTAGGGGGCGTAATGATACTCATTTGTCCAAAGAAGCCGGCCAATTCTGTCCCAGCAGCCACAGAGCAGTCACATGACAGACTTCCCCAGTGAGGCGCACCTGTGGCTTCAGTTTGAAAAGAGCAATGTGAGGAAGCAGGCAGCAGGCAAAACCCTTCTCTGTGACAGCAAAGGTATCTGTCTTTCAAGAAGATGATTTCAGAGCCCCTGGGGTCTGCATCCCAGCTTCAGCAGCTTGTGCGGCGGTGTCTGGTCCCTTAGGAGTTGCAGGTGGCTTTGCAGGAACCTTGAGGTTCTACACCTGACACCTTAACCAGCTGCAGTATCCCTCAGCTGATCATTGTGTCCATGTCTTGCTCATTCTGCCAGCCCGGAAATGACTGCAGTGTCAGCCCTGTTTAAACCACAGAGTGGAGAAGCTGGGGTAGGGGGAGTTCCCTGGGGGACAGTCAGACGCTGGTGCTGGTACAGGAAGGGAGAATTGATGCTCAGCGTGCAAAAGCAGCATGATCCATCCTTCCTTTCCTTTCAGGGTCATCCCCACCCCTCTGGCATGAAGGTGCTGGCCAGCATTTATCTATAGTCTGCTTCTGGTTTTCTTTAAAAAGCTGGATTCAGCCCCCACAGCATTTCCTCGGGCCTCTCTCGGTCGTCAGCGAGGCTCGCCCTTTGGCCTGGCTGCTGCTCGAACACAGTTGCGCGAGGGAATAAATGTTCAGGAAATTTAGTCACTGTACCCGGGGCATCGTGTGAAGACAGAAACATGGGAGAGAAGCAAGAAGCCCAGCCACTTCACGGCGGTGCAGGGACACTGGCCTTTGGGGACCTTTCCCTTCCCACCAGAACCTGCTAGACTGGCGATCCTGATCACCTCAGTCCTCAGCTGAGCAAGCAGTGTTGAAAGGAAAGAAAGGCCTAAAAAGCAAAACTTTCAGTACTCTGGTGACATCTGGTGGTTCCCTTGATTCAAAACCCTCTGATTATTTTTGCATACTTGATTTTGGTTGGGTGCTTTTGATCCCAGAATGCTGTGAGTGCTGTACAGTAGACAAGTTGCCAGGATCTTTTGTTTTCATAGTGTTTTTCTGAACAACATGCTTCCAGTGGGAATGAATCTGCTCAGTTTTGTTTCAGAATTCTTGAGTTGGTGTTGAACATACATTGTGAGGTCATCCTCCCTCGGCTTCTTGCTACTTGAAACCAGAGATGTTTGTAGATGTACTAACTTCTTCTGTTCTCCTTTAGAAATCTATGAAAAAGAATGCAATGGAGAGACCGTGACGTACTGGGAAATGAAGTACCCCTTCCCCATGTCCAACAGAGATGTATCCTTTCTGCAGAGCACACTGTTCCTCAGGCCTCTTGGTGTCTTTCAAGATGCAGGGCCTAGGACTGACTTTGCAGCAGGTGGAGGCAATGTTGTCTTGCAGAAGCATCTGCTGCCATTGTGGTTTTCAGAAGCCTCAGAGTGTGCTTCCTGCCTGGGCCCAAGCCCGAGGAGCATCTGCCACCTTGGGAGCTGGAGGGCACCCCATGCTTTCCAGACAAGTTGTCCAGGCCTGGAAATTGTTGCGCCTTAGAACTGGGGACCTGGAAGGAACTTTTCTTTTTCTTTTTTTTTTTTTGGTACCGGGGATCGAACTTGGGCCCTTGCGCTTGCCAGGCAGGCAGCAGAACCACTGCGCTAAATCCCCGGCAAGGAAGGAACTTTGCATAAAGACTGCTGCTTTAGCCCTCTCAATCTAGAGGACGCAGTGGGGTGTAAGAGGAGGGAGTCAGGTGTCAGAGGGACACAGGCGGTGGGCAGAGCTGAAGCCAGAACTCAGGCCTTGCCCGTTTCCAGCTCTCCCTGCAAGCCCTCCTGACTCAGCAGACCACACAGGGGTCTCTTGGCTGTTGGCTATGGCCACTGGGCCTTTAGGAAATGAAGTAGTTGGATGAGATGAGGGGAGCTTATCTGGCTCCCCAAAGCTCTAAGAAGCCCCCGCAGAACTAGCCTAGGGGAGAGGATGCAGATTTTCCGGGTGGACCGGATGGGCTTGAATGATGGACAGGTGACATTGCAGTACCTTCGCTCTCCTCTTAGGAACTGAATTTCCAAGGAACAGTGGTTTAATGGAAGGTTAAAGAATATAAAAAAAGTTTAGAAACTATTCAATTTGATGATCCCTGGACGCCTTTCTAGCTCTGACATCGTGTGAGTCTGTTTGTCCCTAAATAATTACCTCTGGAAAGGAGGAGAAAGTGGCAGAGCTTGTGTGTGTATCTGTTCTGGCCCCCAGCTTGCTAAAACACACCATAGGCACATGTTTCTCGACATACTGTCCACAGACTGTTAGTTTACAGTCACGTGGTTTGTATTTCAGTGAACTGTTACGGAATCCTTTAGGTTTTACTATAATCCCCTTTAATCCTACCAAGGACAGTGCAAGGCCCATGCCATCACCCCCATTTCACAGGCAAGGAAACTGAGGCAAAGAGAAATCGAGAGCTCTACCAGGTTTGCACCACTACTGTGAGGCAGGGGCAGGCTTGGGGTGCAGGTTCAGCTGTCGCCAGGGGCAGGCCACGGCACGATCTCACCTCTCTGACCTCACAGTGCTCATAGTGAAACTGCCTAACAGGTGATGTTGTGGAGTGGATACTTAAGTGTCCTTGAAATCCTGTTTCACTGGCTTTCCAATGCCACACAATCCTGAGTTTCTTTGATTTGTCTATGCCTACATGTCTCCCTAATGTAGGCTGTTAAATTCCTAGGAACGGAGAAGGGCTCCATGGAAAAGAATATCTGTTTTGTTGTTTTTTGAGACAGGGTCTCACTATGTATATAGTCCAGGCTGGCCTTTGAGCTTACTACGTAGCCCAGGCTGGCCTCAAACTCCAGTGATCCTCCTGCCCCAGCCTCCTGAAGGCTGGGGTTACAGGCGTGCACCGCCACACTCAGCTCAAGAACATTTGCTTTAGAGCAGAAGATCCTAGGTTAAGCCCGAGTGTGTACCCTGGTTTGCTCTGTGACCTTGGGAAACGTCCTTCACTTCTCTGGGTTTCAGTGAATTGGTGGTCACAGGTTGTATGCCACCTGGAACGGGGAGCTCCTCCGCAGCACGGTGACAGATTGTACGCAGTGCATGCAGATGCCTTTTCCCCAGCCGAGTGTCAGGTGATGTCCATCCTGTGAGCTGAGAAGAGAGTGAGGTGGTATCTGTTGAGAGGGAAAAGTGAAAGGCTTGGGAGGAGGAAAGGGGGAACGGAGAAAGACAGCATTGTCCCTGCTGCTGGGCGACTGGTGGGCACCTAAGAGCCTGGGCACGGTGGACCATCCAGTGCAAGGGACAGGCCATTGGTGGGGGCTGGGAAGACCCCGAGGTGCCATGGGGCTGTGGTTGTGGTGTTTGGTAATGCGATTGTGTTATTCTTAGTGACTTTTTTTGTGTCCAGGGACTTGAATCCAGGGCCTTCACACTGAGCTACAACCCTAGCTCTTTTAAAATATTTTACTTTTAAGACAGGGTCTCACGAAGTCACTAAATTACCCAGGCTCCCAGAGTGCTGGGATTACAGGCATGTGCCACCATGCTCAGATAGAGCGATTTTTTTTGGCCGGGCCCGGGGTACCAGGGATCGCACTCAGGTCCTTCTGCTTGCAAGGCAGGTGGCAGAACCACTGAGCTAAAACCCCAGCCCATAGAGCGACTTTTTGATTGCCTTAGGCTTTGAATTACTTTTAATGTGAAACCCACTATGCAGTTATTTGGAAGTATAATTAAAAACTTGAGCCCCATCCAGCTATGACATTCTACATAGGGACTAGAGCCAGATCTGGGTTTAAATTCAGGCAGGTTCTAGCCCTTCTACAGGGCCGTAGGATGTTGAGCAAGTTTCTTTACCTCCCTGACCCTCCATTTTGTCAACCACAAATGGAAATTACTTACACTGAACTCACAGGCCTTTGCAAGCTCAAAATTGATGTTATATGGAATCAAAAAGACGGTAAATGTTTAAAAATTTACAAAATTCCTACAGTAGAAGACACATTGCCGTTACTGTTGAGGCTGACTCAGTGTCCCGAATCGATTCAAAGTGTTTATGGAGATTTCTGTCAAATTAAAACATCACGGTGCATGCTCATCCACCTTACTCATGCAATCTGGCACCATGCAACTCCCAGCTCTTCCTCAAAGTCAAAATGACCATGAAAGGTAAATGATTTGAGTCAATTCAGGATACCGAAGCTACCACCGAGTCAGTACAACTCAGAAGGACCCTGGAGCTGCTTCCACAAGTGGCAAGAATGGTGAGACAAGTGTGTTCAAAGTAGAGGGAGTATTTTGAGGGCGATTAATGGCAATGAGCCTTATACTGTAATAAAGTTTTCAATTTTTGTTTGAGTAATCACTATTTCTGATCCTACCACGTAGAAGTGGAGCATGCAGTGTTTATTACATGGTAAGGGCTCAGTAAGGAGCGACTCTGGTTTCTTCAGGTTCGCTTACCTTCCCTGCAATAGAGACATAGCCCTAGTGGTTGCTCTGTGGATGTTTATGGGGAGGAAATGGCTTCGGCATCCAGTATACCACTGCTGACCCAGAGAGGACACCTGGCTAGTGAAATGCAGGGGTTCATGTGCCTTATTTCTGCCACTAGTTGCAGCACTGCTGACATCTGTGCATACAGATCTGTCCCCAGAGCTTGGGCAAGGACAGGACAAGGCAGAATGACACTGTCATCTCTGGAGTGCTTCTCCCCCAGTCTTGCCCTAAAGCCCCACCAAGCCTATGGAGAGCGAATCACTCCCCTATCCTACATACAGAGACTGAGTCTCAAGACAGGGTGAGTGACTTGCCCAGGATCACACAGCAGATCAGTGAGCAATCCCTTGCCCTCTCCAAGTGCCTTTTGGAGAAAGGAGGAATTGTTGCCTTGCGTGATTGAAATCATCAACGGATCTTGCCAGGTAGGTAGTGAGAATCCTAGGTGCCTGAGACACTGCGTCGCAGTACAGACTGGGAGGCAAGGCAGGTGAAGGAAGTGTCAACAGAAGGGAGCAAATGCCAAGTGGGAAGTGCAGACTCAGCTCCTTTGCCTCTGGCTTTGAGGCTCCCCCTGCCCTGTGCAGGGCTGGTGACGTTGTGGAGCCTTGACTGGCAGTGCAGTATGTCTACATCCGGCAGCGGCGAGACCTGAATGTAGAAGGGCGGAAGATCCACGTGGTCCTGGCCCAGAGCATCTCCCTGCCTCAGTTTCCTGAGAAGTCTGGTGTGATCCGAGTAAATCAGTACAAGCAGAGCCTGGGGATTGAGAGCGATGGCAAGGAGGGGAGCAAAGGTAAAGCCTGGGGTGCAGCTCAGCAGCCCAGCCCGGGCCATGCTGAGGGAGAGGAGGCAGGCGGGTGCACGTAGCTTGTCCCCGGCAGTCAGCAGATGGGCAGGCACAGGTGCAAAGCAGATGGGGTCTGCACCTGAGGAAACCCTTAATCCACCCTCCAAACTTAGCTAGAGCAGGAGCAAGAGCAAGAGGTTGAGTCTGACCCAGCCAGCCCATTCTGTTCTGACTCTTGCCCTGTTCCTGATAAAATCACATCAGAAGGAAATCAGCGGGCTTCGAGGTTCTCTTCAGGCTGGTCCTGTGGCCACACACTCTGAGCTGGGAGTGGGCAAGCATGTTGGGCACATCTGTCTTGGAAGGTGTGGCCCCTGCTCAGCACAAACCCAGAGACTCGGGAGGACCTCTCTAGCTTGAGATCCAGCCCCTGAGAGGCAAGGGTGGGCCGGGAGGGGCAGGCAGCCACCTGCTGTACTCCGTGGAGCGTGGCCGTGTCTTGGGCAAAATCTGAACCATAGTTGTGGTGCTTGTATGTGTTTTTTTTTTTTTTTGATACCAGGGATCGAACTTGGGACCTTGTGCTTTCGAGGCAGGCGCCGGAACCACTGAGCTAAATCCCTGGTCCTGTGTTGCTTGTAGAGCTGTTGTGTCACCTAACTTCTTTGAGTCCCTGTCTAATCAATAAAACAGGCTTAATTTTGTCAGTTCCCGAGGATTGTTAGGATATAAGAGACTATCTCCAAATGCCGAGCACAATGTTTAAAAAAATAGCAAAATGTGCATATGGTTATGTTTTAAAAAATGCTTGTATATAAACATGGCACAAGGCAAGTCAGTGGAGAGAGAAGTCCTTTGGAACTATCTGATTTCTGGCCCTGAATCTGACGTTACACTATTTGCAGGGGTTTTTTGCTGTGTTTTTCCAATATTTTTCATCTTCCTGAATTGACTTTCCTTTCCCCCTCTAGTTTTCATGTATCACTTCGATAACCCGGGTGGCCAAATTCCGTCCTGGCTCATTAACTGGGCCACCAAGGTGAGATCTCGGGGCAGGAGAGGGGGAAGGGTATTCAAAAATGTTGACTTAGCCCGGCGAGGCTGTCAGGCTGAAGAGACACATTGTCCCAGGTGTAATGAGGCTCTTTTATGAAGAGCTTGGTTGAGTGACTCGGATTAGGCCTGGAGTTGCCAACACCCAGGATGGAGACAAGGATAAAAGACAAAGAATTGTTAAGTTGGAATGCCAGCCCCTCCCTGCTGGGGGCCCCAGACCCAGCCAGGATCACTCGCTGGCACCTCTGGACCATAGGCTACTCCCTACAGGAATAATTGTGCTTTTGGACCTGGTATGTGCTTATGAAAGAGGAAGACAGACCTGGCTGGGGGACGGCCAGACCTAGCAACAACTAGATGTGCCCAGGCCCGATAAAGTCCTCAGTTTCGTTGTTCCTTTCTTTTCTTTTTTTTTCTGTAAGGGAAAGAAACTGCAAGGGTGGCCCAGGCCACCAGAGACCATGTAGGACCCTGGCATTATGGGGACCATTCACCTGATTTTGTACAGGTTCAAGAGAGAGCAAATGTGCTCATCAACTTTGAAGTTGAAACGATGTGATTTTGAATCCTGGCTCTGCTATATTGGCTGTGTTTTATTTATTTACAGAAAGTATGAATTTCTCCTTTAAAAAAACTAGAGATAGAAGTTTTGTCCTCCATCGAGAAGTGTATAAAAGTCTTGTGCTTGGATCAACACTATTAAATAATAATACATCTTACCATCTGACCTCAAATCCTTACTTTTTTCCAATGCTAGAAAGCAAGTCCTTCCTGTTCCTTCTTTGGAAGATCCAACAACCCAGCCAGATCACACTTTCTGTGCGTTCTTTTCTTTTGAAGAAACACTGTCTCACAGAGTGGTCTGTTTTATTGGTGAAAGCTGAAATGGCAGGCAGTTCCTTGCAGCAACAGCTTCTGATGTCTAGACTTGCCTGTGCCCAAATCTTGGCTTTCATCATTACCTGTGACAACATCCTGTTGAAATTGCAATCCGCTCAGGGACCCTACTGTCTTTTTGTGCCCAAAGCCATCTTTCTCTACCTTTTGCTCACCCCAAAGAATTAGGAGTGACCGCTAGGAGGATATAAAAATGACAGTTTCTTTTCCTTTGCAGAATGGCCTTCCAAACTTCCTGAAAGATATGGTGAAAGCCTGTCAGAACTACCTCAACAAAACCTAAGAAGGACGGCTGGTGTAGTGGGACATGCCTGTAATCCCAGCATCCTGGGAGGCTGAGGCAGGAGAATTACAAGTTTGAGCCCAACCTGGGTAATTTAGCAACTTGGTGAGACCCTGTCTCAAAATACAGAGTGCTGGGGATATAGCTCAGTGCCAAGGCAGTGGGTTCAATCCCCAGCACCACAGAAAAGACAAAAACAAAAAAACCTAAGAAAGAGAACTGGGACCCATGCACCCACGGAATGACATTTCTGGAAGTGCCACAATCCAGAGTGCTCAGCCTTCTTTCACACTTCCCTCTCCAGAGGCCTGCACGCCCTACAGCACGTATCCCAAAGCCTGCTTGCCTGGAGCCTGGCTCTCCCACTTCCTTTCCCGCTCTCCCTGCCCCACTGTCAGCTGTCTCCTTCCACTATTGAATAAGAAGCAAATTAAGGAAATCTTCGCTTGTTTATTTTTAAAAGGGAAGTCCTCAATAGGAAACACAAGCATTCCCTTGTGCCATTTCAGGGGGACGGTGGGTGGAGGAATGACAGCGGCTTGTAAGAGGGACCATTCTTGGTGAGCTGGCTCCTTCCCAGAATGTGCTTTCTTGCAAGCCAGAGCACTGAAGCCAGAACTGACCCTCGGGGTCCCAAACTGGAGACACGTGCTGGGTTGCCCTCCGCTTTATTGACTTGATTAGGTTGGGATTTGAGGTGTTAACCCAGTATGTTTTCCCTTGTTATGATATTGGACCATTTTGAGAAGCATCGAAGTCCCAACTGAGCACATGATGTGGTAACCATTATTTCCTCATCATCTATATCTGGAATTTTCTCTTTCCCGTATGCCAGTAGGGAAAGGCCGCCTGTACCTCTGGCTCTGCATTTTACTGGAAAGTGAGGTGCGGACAGTCAGCAAAAGCGAAGATACTTCCTGCACACCCCTGTGATGAAGTGTCTTTCTATGCAACAAGATGAATTTCCCTTCCAGAATGTTTGGAGATGTTGAAGGGATGATAATAATTCACAGCCAGGTAACATTTAATTAGTGGCTTGATTGACTCTACACCTTTTTTCTCAGGAATCCTACCCACACCGTCTGCTTTTGCCTGAATTTTGGTAGGGTCAGATGGTCTGTAGCCCAATGCATAGTTTACTGATCTCAGGGAAATTTTTAAGTCACTGCTTCTGATTAATGGACACAAAGTCAGAAGAAAGGGTTTGTTAAAATGTGATTCTTCGAACTGTGTTTTCTCTCTGGGAAGAAAAGCATGTTCCATGATGAATAAACACGGAGTGACTTACACTTATCTTGTGTGCAGCTTCCTTCTTACCTTTTGAGTTTTGTGAGAGTGAATTAGTCACCCCCCCCCACACACACACACCTGGGATTGAACTCAGGACTTTGCGCTTGCCAGGGAGGGGTGGTGCCACTGAGCTCCATACCCGGCCAGTTATCTCTTGTTTGCACTTGACATATGGCCTAACTCATGGCCTTGAACACACAAAGAATTTGGGGCTCACTTACATGCAAGTGTAGATATATGTGAGTTTAGGTAGAGACTGATACGGGTACTCAAACTGAGATTAAATTCAGTATGGTTCTTCATGTTATCTTTGATACTGGTCTGCATTTGGGGGTAGAATAGCTGCTAAAAGCAAAAAAAAATTGCATTTCTTTTCAAAATGTCCTGTGCCATTCTATAATTTAGGTTCTCCTTAAAACATAACACCTATGTGTGCCCCAGTCACTGTGGGCATATGGATAGGATTATGTAAATACACTAATTCTTCTTTAAATTTATCATTAAAATATTATCAGTAATATAGCTGGAATTTAACTTTAGGTAAACTAAAGAAGTCTCATGTAGAAGACAAGCTGAAATCTTATGTATAGATTCTTTGAAATGCAAGGACTAAGATTATAGCTGTTTGTAGCAGTGGGGACTGATCCTAGGGCCTTGTTCATGTAAGGCAAGAACTCTATCCAGCCTTTTAAATTTTATTTTAAGACAGGGTCTTCTAAGTTCCCTGGGCTGGCATTAAACTTGTGATCCTCCTGGCTCAGCCTCCCAAGTAACAGATTATAAGCATGCACCTCCATGCCAAGATTATAGTCTTTGAACTGAGTTGATGTGAAATGGCGTTGTGCAGACCATTTCTTTCAACAGCAGTCATTGGTAAGAACTCAATATTAAGAGCACCAAAGTTTTAGGTGAGGTACTTCAAAAAAAGAGGTGGCAAAATGCTATAATTAGTGGAATTTTGATTTTTTGATATTCATGCTTGCTAATTTGGAGTTAAGGATAATCCAACACAGCGTTAAAAGATGAAGTGTGTGGGAAACTGAGAATCCTTGAGCTACCGTAGGTGCCAGGGATGCACAAAAGAAGTACAGTTGGTGTTTCGGGGCTGCACCTGACTTCACAGCAGTTGGATGGATCCCAGTTGTTTTCCCAGTAAGAACTTGAAAGTTGCAAATATGGTATAATTTCTTTAGCTTATTGTTGTGCCTATCTTTCCCATGTCTGGGCAGCCAATAAGTATTCTGTGGATAGAAACAGTTGTTTTATTTTGATTACTGGCCCTTGAGTGTAGTATGGGAACTGGGTGAAGAAATGATTTAGAGAAGACAGTAAGTGATAGCAAATCTCGAAGACTACAGCCATCCAGGTACACAAGCTCATCCTCCATTGATTCAAGCGAAATTATTCCCCTAGGTCAGCATTTGGGGAGGGGGGCTCTAGATTTCCTAGGTTTCTGTACTGTGCTGATGTTACAGAAATGGCATAGCATGGACCGTGTTCAGCTGAGGTAGTCAGGATTTCAGTTGAAATGTAATGACACAAGCAGCAGTGCTGTGGAGGCTCAATTTTTTTTTCCACAAGCAAATTATTCACACTCAAACAATCCAAAGTTAATGGCCACCTTGGAGCCCAGGAGTTCCAGCAGAAGGTCACTTCCCTTGAAAATGTTCCTATTTCACAGTGAGAGTCCTGGCCTGACTCCCTGGCTGAGGTTCCTCCCCCAGGATCCCTGCCCCCAATGCCTGCCCTTCAGCCCTCCTGCTTCCTAGTTGGGTTTGGAGGAGACAAAGCAGGAAGAGAGCATTGGGTTTTCATGCTTATGGTAGCACCACCCAGTTGGCTCAGGAGTTAGATTTAAAAGCATGGAGACATTTAATCACTTCACAGGCATTTGTTGTTGTTGTTTTAGCCTGAGAGCATCCTTCTTGAGGCCGAGCAGAGTGGTCTGTGGAGTGAATGGGATAGTCTTGGTGCCGGCCCACAAGGAGTTTACGGTCTCATGTGAATGCCAAGAAAAGCAGCTGCTGGAGCTGGGCGATAATGAGCAGAAAGGACCAACAGAGGGTGCTGTAGGGCATGAGCTGAAGGTGAGGGGCAGGGAAGAATCTCCTGGAGCTGGCTGGGAAAAGATGGAGGAAGAAAAACATTCTAGACCAAAGATCTGTCTGCACAAAACCCCTCAGCAAAAGAGTGACATGAAGAACAACAAAAGGCCAGTATGGCTGGAGCAATGGCAGGAGGAAAGGGGTCTTTTTACTCCAGTGCATATTAACTGTACAGAATAACAGGTTTTACGGTGATACTTTCAAACACAGAGCACAGTTTGCTCTTATCCTTCACCCTTCCTTACTCTCCCCTCTCTCCCCAAGGAAAGGAGGAGTCCTGCACATCACGTGGCTGAAGAAATAGGCGTGTAGGCCATGGGTGATCTTTAGAGCCATGCAAAGGCTCTGGACTTGATACCAGGAGCACCAGAAAGCTTTGAAAGATTTTGGGTTGAGGAACGATTTAGTAAGATTTATTTATTAATTCCTAAAAGCTGCTCATTTTCTCCATGACCCCCCAACATCTCCAGTGGTCCCTCCATCATGGTCCTGGGGGACTTGCCAAAGTGTGTTAAGTCCCGTTACTTTGAATCTTCCTGATTGTCAGTAACATACTTAAATTGATACTTAAATTGAATTTCCAAAGTGGACCATCAGCTTCTGAAGTTTGGAAAGAATGAAAATGGTGGAGGAGGGCATCTGTCTTAGTCACTTTCTTGCCACTAGGACCCAATACCCGACACCTACAATTTAAGAGACATTTTGGCTCACAATTTTAGTCCAGCGTTGGCTGGCGCCAAGATGGGATGACCTGGCAGAGGGGCGTAGCGGAAGAAAACTGCGCGTCACAGCATCCAGGAAGCAGAGAGGTGAGGAGCAGTGGCACATACCAGTAATCCCTTCCAGGTCACCCCCAGTGATCCACCTCTTTCACTCAAATCCTTCCATTCAACAGAAAGTTAGCTATCTCGCCCGCATGGTCTAATCACCTTCCAGACGCCCTGCCTATAAGCACAGGAGGTTTTTTGGGGGGGGGATGTAGTGATATAAGCCATAACACCAGCATCACCACCCACGTGTCCTGGCCCATGCTGGTGTATAGCACAAGTTCCTCTGGGACTGTGTCATTTAGCCCATCAGAGCAGAGTCATTCCAGGGCCAGAAGTGGAAGAGACAAGACAGGCCATAAAAAAAATCAAGTCCACTTTCTCCAAATTTTATTTTTCTATATGCATCTCCAACTATAAGGAAGAATTTTTTTCCTGAGAAGACAGAAATACATTATTTGTTTGGGTTACAGAGTTTAGAACAGACCAAATGCAAATGGAAGGGTGTAGAGACTATAGCTTTTGCTCATATATTTACACGCATGTGTGTGCATGTGTCTACTTGGATACACATAAAAGTGCTCCACTTTGTCAGATATGACAATGGCACCGTGACTAAGTGGCATGCTATGTGGGTGACTTTTCAAGCTCTCTGCTTGATGTCCTGGGTCTAGTGCTGGGCATTGGAGTACAGAGAGGTGGAATGAATTCTTCCACTAGGGAATTAACAGGATATTGAGGACGTGGGACATGTGTCCAAATGTTTACAATGATGAGAAAGCATGTGTTCACCACCAGATGGGAGGAAAACTTAATTGAGAAGCTAGTAGCAAACTGCTAATTACCCCACAGGATCTTCTGTCTGCTAACTCCAAAGTAACTGAGTTTTAGCAGAGTGCATAGTGTTCTAGCCCCACCTCCCCCAGTGTTGTGACGTAGAGTCATGAGACTAGGTTCTGGCCCGCGTTGTGTAAGTAATATGTGTCACTTCCAGCTCAGGATACTAAAAGGAGAGAGTGTGACCTCATTTGGTCCTTGTCCCTTCCACTGTGTCTGGGAAATGAGAACTGGAGTAAACACCTTGGATTCAAAAATGAAAACTAAGACTGAGGATTGTAAAGAGTTCTCCCTCCCTTGGTCTGTTTTCAGCCACCCACTTTGGTGACTGTTGAAGACAGGAACAGTCTTCCTTCTTATTGCAGCCATAGCATTTGCTTGTTTTTGTGGTATGGGGGGTTGAACCCAGGATCATTGCACTGAGCTACATCTGCAGTCCTTTTTTATTTTTTTGAGACAGGGTCTTGTTAAGTCACTAAATTGCCCAGGCTGTGCTTGAACTTGCGATCCTCTGGCCCCAGTCTCTCAGGTTACTGGGATTACTGGTGTGTGCCGCCACTCCCAGCAGCATTAACAAAAATAGCAGCTTGGCCTATAGCAAACTAATAAATGGCTCAAAGGACTTTCAAGTCAATAACCAGCTCAAATGCCTCCTCATCCGTAGACCTCTGGTCTCCTGGCCTATGGCTGCCACGTCACCAGTAGTCAACCCTCTCTGATTTGTTCCATTTAATAAGTGGTTAATTAATATTATCAACTATTAGTTATTATCCCTCCTCAATTGTACATAACTCTTGGTCTCCCATTGTCCTACCTCTGTGCTCGGGCTATTCCTTTGGCTTGTGAAGGAAAGCTTCCCCAAGTTTTATCAAATTTCTGTCCAAATTCAAGGCTCTCTCTAAATCAATTCTCTCCAAGGTATTCATTGATTTACAAAAAGCCAAATGTATGATAGTGCTGAAGAAATGAAACTCAGCACCTTTAGATCGGAAGAGTTCCCACTTCTATAGGTGGTCTTTGATTAACTGGCTCAGTTTCTCCATGTCCTCCAGAAAAACAGAAGCAACAAGGAGGCCGAGAAGTCTCAAGCTCTGGAGTCTACAAGCTGGAGTCCACAGTGCAGTTCTAGTCCCCAGATTGCCCAGGATGGAGACTGAGGAGGAGGCAACATTTCATTATCTCAGAGTTTGAAAGCCAGAGAAAGCCAGTGTCTCAGCTCAAAGCAGCCAGACAGGGGGAGTTCCCTCTTGTTCTCTAGAGCTCAGCCTTGTTTTTTTTTTTGTTTGTGGTACCAGGAATCAAACTCAGGACCTTGCACTTGCCAGGCAGGCATGGGGCCACTGAGCTACATCCCCAGCCTGTCAGCCATTTTGTTCTATCCAGGACTTCAACTGATTGGATGAGGGTCTCTCACAGGGAGGGCAATCTACTCCATCTTCCAGTTCAAATGTTCATCTTATTCCCAAGCACTCTCACAAACACACCCAGAATACTTGTCCAAATGCCTGGGCACCCCATGGTTGAGTTAAGTTGACACATAAAACTATCCATTACAGTTGCTAAGAATCTAATGTTCTCACCTAAGAAAAGATTTACCACGATGAAGGTTGTACTGTATGTTAGGCACTAGACTGGATACTTTATTTATAGTTTGGTCTTTGTTGAGATAGGAAATACTGTCTCCAACTTACTTATCAGAAATAAAATATATGGCTCAGAGAGGTTAAATAACATGCCTGAAGTTAATCAGCCTGTTTAGGAACAGACTGGTAACTCAAAGATTCTGAAGTCTTCCTTTCCTATTGCTCCTCTCCGGGTCTTGATGCCACTTTTTGATATTGAGTTATCAACACAGTATGACTTTCCTGCTGCACTCCTCTGTATGGAAAGCACCTTCTCTACCCTCCCTAAGCTTATTTTGAAATTTTATCTAAATTCAGGAACTTTCCCAAGATAAACTGGCCTGCAGCTCACATGGATATACCTCCAAAACTCATTCCAAATCTAGCCACTTCTTTCTCTGTTGCTCCCATAGTAGTCTACAGTCTCTTTGTTGCCCTCTGGATGATGACTTGAAAAGGCTTTGAATGGATCTGCATTGTTGCCCTTCCCTGCAATTATTCTTCCATGTACTAGTGAGACTGAAGTTTTCTAAAAATAAAATCAGGCGATATCACTACCTCTCTTAAAACCCCCATAACTTCTGGTAACATGTAGAATAAACTACGGATTTTCTACCTTGAGCGGTAAAGCCCTCCATGTTGTGGCTGTTCCTCTTTGCCTCCATCCTACATTTCAAACCCGTGGTTCTTCCTTCTGTTCTGGCCGAGAGCCAAGCTTGGCCTTGCAACAGTCACTGTGCCAGATGTTCTGCCTGCCTGGAATGTCCTGCACCCTGGTTCACTTGAGCTTGAAATCATCAAATCAAGCACAACATTGTTGAAATGTCACCTCCTCTGAGGGGCCTTGCACCGGAAATAATCAGGGACTAGGTAAAGAGTCATTCTTTATTTCATTACCCCACCTGCATAATATATACAGCTTATATTAAATGCTATTTGTTGTTCGTTCATTTACACAGGCTCCAAGAGGGTGCAGAACTGGGTCTTATTTTCACTTACCTTTATACAACATAGAACACAAAACATATTCAAAACTGCCTGCTGAAGAAATGAATGACCCAACGATGGTGGCAACCCCAGGGCCTCATGGTTTCAATATGACCGGTATTCCAAAAGTTAGGTTAAAAACAAAAGTACTCTTAGTCTTGTGTTCCACTTAATTTTTCCAAAGAATGGACACTGAGACCAAATGAGTTTTTAGAATTGTTAACATTATAGTTTTCAGATTTTTAAGAAGTTACTATTCCGATTCAACATCTTTAGAAGACTTAAACTGAATATCTAAAAAAACCCAAAAAATTCTGCCCAGCAGAATGGAATTATTGATTTAATTGGAGAAGGGGAGAGAGGCAGGAGGCAAAACAGGGGCAGAAAACCTGTATTCCCAGGGGGCACCTACAGGGGTGGGGTGGGGATGGGAGCCGGAGAACAGCATGGGGACAGAATGGGGGTGTTGAGCTAGGAGAAGGACAGCACACCCAATCCATTTTCTCTGAGCTGTTTTACCCAATTCATTTCATAAAACAAGAAAAACATCAACGGAAACCAAGCAGGATAAAAATGGTAACCATAGCTCCATGCAAGCCATATAGTAACTTTTGTTTTACGTCAAACAGCTTGTGAGAGGTTGGATCTGGTTTTAAGTGGTCATGGATTCTGCTTACCAATGAATGTGGTGTTTCATTTTCCAAGGGAGAGGAATATAATATTATTCTTCATTAGGAACCAATATTTCAGGCCTGGTATTGAATAATTATGGGACTGCTGAAAGCTTCCAAATAGGAGTTCGCCCTCCACTCCGCAGCTTGGCTCAGGTTCCCATTCCAGCTACTTTAAGTGCTTGTAAACAGCATTAGTTTTCCATTACAAGCTAGGAAATGTGACTGCACTACGGCAGCCGGCGGCACCAGGTCCCTGGAGAGCGCCTGCTAGGGAGGCCGTTTCCTCACATCTCATTTTTGTCTGTAACTCAATGGTGAGGTTGAGTAATCGCTGAAGCTCCATGTCTTCCCATCCTATTCTGCCCCACTAACTTATAAAACAGCCTGTGACCTGCCTGAGGACTAGTGGATCAACCAGATGTTTCCTGAGCAAAGACAGCATCCATTTCCCCTTGGACATCATCTTGTGAGAGGGGAGGGCTGGCAGGGCTCTCCCCCAGCTGACATCATTGGGCGAGGTGGCCTGGGGGAGAATTTCAAAGCAGAGAAGCTTGGCCAGGGAAGAGCTCAGCTGGCAGCTGCGTGCTAGGATTAACTGACCCAGATAACCAGGGAGAAGGAATCAGCAATTTGAGTGTGTTTGTTCTCCAGCAGGAAGTCGCCTGCCTCTCTCCCACCTCCTGAATACTATAGGCTAAGGGAGCCTTTCTCGTGTGGTACCACATGCACAGCCAGGATCGTGATCAATTGCTGCCCATCCTGACTCCTTACATTTTCTAACCTTTGCTTGAAGTGAAATAGGTTTAATTCCTTGCAATTAATAACAGTATTAATGAATCCTCCTTCCTTAAACAAATTCTAAAGAATCTATGATTTTCAGTCATCTATTTATAGATCATTAGCTTGTTAGAGGTGGTGTGTGAAGATCTAGTTACATAAAATATTTTTTTAAATCTAGAAAACAACTGATAGGGAATGGGTACTAAAAATAAAGCATAAATAAGCAAATAGAATGTGTGCACCATCATTATGATTTCATAAAAGAAAGGTGAATTTAACCTCTTCTGCCTCCAACCATTCAGGGGCTTTTTTTTAATGCTCTTCATCTAAACTACTGAGACCTAAAAAGTTCTATAGGACCTAGGATCTGGCCCCAGCCTACTCTTCAAGCCACACCCCCTCCTTTACTTATTCCTTTCCAGATTTCCCTCTATTCCTCAAATCCATCATGGCCTTTGATTATTTTGCTATTCCCATCTTCCCCAGATCTCTATGAGGCACAGTGTTTAGGGGAGGCAGTCCTCTGGCATGAATCCCAGGGCTCCCTGTCACCTGGTGTGGGGACCACCGCATTGATTATGCCCAAAGCAGGCTGTGAGCACTGCAGGCTGTCAAGAGTTAACCCCACAATTGCCTTGTTTATACAAGTGAGTCCTATCAAAGCCTATGTGCTGAGGTCAGAGTGACTCTTATTCAAATTCCATTCCTAGAATTAAAAACTTCTTTACTAAAAAGACGAGGCTATTTGCTAATCACAACCTGTATTTTCTCTGTTCTGTTTTGTCTCTTCCTTTACAAGCCTTGCCTGCATCAACAACATATCCCTAGCATCTACACATCTCCCTAGCTACATCCCTAGCTCCTTTGCTCTGACTTAACTATGATGTCACAATAAGCTTTGGCTGGCCAGGGCCTTTGCTTGCTCAAGCCTCTGACTGCACAAATGCTGAACATCCTGGTTCTCCATATCTGTCACTTTAACTCTCTCTGTGTGTCTTTCTTTTCGCCTAGTGCCGTAGCACTGAACAGGATACCAGAACCCATTGCAGGGGCCTCCAGTAACCTGGTAGGAATTTCCTAGTGTGACACTGTCCTCTGTGGGCAGGTTCTAGCAAGGTGCTTCTCAAGAATAGAAGAGGGCAAGGGCTGGGGATTTAGTTCAGTGGTTTCGCCGCCTGCTGTGCAAGTGCAAGGACCCGAGTTCGATCCCTGGCACCAAAAGAAAAAAAGAAAGAAATTAGCCATAAAAACTCTAAGGCCCTTACCCCATACTTTGAGAAAGAGCCTTTCTGAGATTGGTGTCCTGACAGTAAAATATAATGGTGTGAGGAGAAGGAGGGAAGTGAGTCCCTGGGGTCCAGGAAGGATCTGAAGCAAGAATTGAAGTTCATGGGTAGAGCAAAGAGAGAGACTTCCACGAAGAGGAGGGATATAACAAGCAGCACTCTCTCCCAGAACCTGGACTCATGGCATGGGAAGGTCTGGTTGAACCTGCAAATGCATGGTGACTACTAGCGACCCCAGAGGCCTCCATGGAGAAACGCACCAGTGGAACAGAGCAGTGGACACAGTGGACTGCAGCAGCTGGTGAGTTTTCCGGTTTCAGACCTCACCCAGGCGTTGGGTGATTGGCTGGTAGCCATCTTGGAGAGGGGTCAACTGAATTCAGAACTCAGAAGTATCACAGTGACTTTATGTTACTAAATTAAATGAACATAATTTAGTCTTTAGCTGACCTGGTTTCCAGCGAGCATTCAACAATATTTATATTGCATCCTTCTTAGGACATAGTGTTTACCTGATTTTTCTCCTATTTTTAGTAATTTCTCTACCTCCTCTTTCAGGCTTGTCTCCTACTTGCCAATAAATGTTATAAATGCCTCAGAAAAAAAAAAGAATAGAACAGGGCAAAACTGATGTGCACATCTAAGATCAACCTGTGAGACCGTGACTCCCAGGTTTGCTCATTAATCTCTGGCTTTTCTTACTTGTTCTCATGAAGCAAGATGCCATTTGTGGGCCACTCTGTGGAGAGGACAGCATGACAAGGTACTGGCCTGGGAGTAAGTGAACCCTGCAGCCACCTTCTGAGTGAGATTGGCAGCAGAGCCTTCTCGCAGAGCATGCAATGACCACAGCCTTTGTGGACAATGGCTGCCTTGTGAGAACTCCTGAGCCAGAGGACCCAGCTAAGCCATGGGCAGGCTCCAGACACAGTGAAACTGTGAGATAATAAATGTTGTTAATAAATGGTAGTGCTGATGCATATCTGTAATCCCAGCACTCTAGGAGGCTGAGGCAGGATTGCAAATTTGAGCCCAGCCTGGGTAAGTTGGCAATTTAGAGAGATACTGTGTCAAAATAAAAAATATTTTAAAAGGTTGGAGATGTAGCTCAGTGCAAAGGCCTAAGGTTCAATCCCCAGTACTGTAATAAACAAACAAACAAATATAATTTTTTAAATTAAGAAATCCTGAGATAATTTGTTAGGTAGCAATTGATCACTAACATGATGCTCCACTTCATTTAGATCTCTGCTCAAATACCTCCCTCCCTAAAGGAGTTTCTCACCTCCAGACAAACAAAACAAGAAAGATTGATCACACATTGCTTTCTTCCCCCTTCCCAACTTTATTTTTCCTCATAGAAATTATTGCTACTCACATTTATATCATATATTTCCCTCTCCTACCAGAATGAAAACTCAATGAACAACATACCTGTCCTTGTACTGGTGAGCAAGATGGACATGTGTTTACCTCAAGGATTGACTGACAAATTAGTGTCGGGTGACTATACACCAGGTCCAGTGTTTACAGGTTATTTGGCTCCAGTTCTCTGGTATCTGGGCTAATTAATTTTAGTTCATCGTCTCAGCTGATTTTGTTTTGTGCCTCTGTGTGTACGTGTTTAAGTTGTTGTTATGCCGTTCTGATTGGATGATGCACCTTTCTACACCTTTAACTGAGCCTTTGATTAAAATACTGTATAGGTTAGAGTCAAGGGCAGAGCTATTGATGTCTATTGTTGAATAAATATAATTATTTGGAAAGTTTTTGCTTTACGCTCTGCTAAAATCCGTCTTCTTCCTTCTACTAGCTTTAGCTTTTTTCTCAGAAATAATGTAGAAGAATATGTCCATTTCTTCATTTAAGACCTTTCATCGTTGCTCTATTAACTATTTCTTAGCATTTAATTACCGTGTGTTGAATTGATTGTCTCTTTTCTATGTTATAAACTTTTCTCAGCTCTTCAGTGTTTCTTTCTTTTGTCCCAGCTTTGGAAGTTAAGACTGCAGGTTTAACTTTCTGTTCCAGAGCAGGTGTCTGGGTTTCACTCCCCACCTGGGTTCCAGGGCAGGTGGGCCTCCTGGGTTTTCTCCTGGGTGGCCTCCTGCTTCACCAGCACCTGAACATTGCCCTAGCTCTCTGCCTCAGGCCCACATCCCTGGATCTCAAGCCAGAGTCTCCTCTCCTGCCAGGTGCGTGTGCAGTAGCCCATGCACGCATGCGCAGCAGAAGTGGTAGAAGGGGTCGGTCAGCTTGGCTCTGCCCTGCCTCTGAGGTACCAGCAGCAGACTATCCCTCAGCACCGATCATCTGTGCTGCTCCTGTCCTTTACAGCTAGGCTGGTCCACAAGCATCCCAACCTACAGCTTCCTCCACAATTTTATGGTTTTGTTTTGTTTTTCCAGTACTGGAGATTGAAACCTGGGCATTTCACGCTGAGGTACATTCCCAGCCCTTCTTTTTCATTTTGGGACAGGGTCTCACTAAGTTGTAAGTTGCCCTCAAACTTGTGGTCCTCTGGTTCAGCCTTCCAGTGTGCTGGGATTATAGATTTGCACCACCATGCCCTCTCCGTTCCTGTTTGTTTCTGGACTCAAAGGGTAACAACTCGTATGTTCTAGTCCTTATGTTTTTATTCTTGTGCATGTGTGTATGCATGTATTTATAGTCATACTTCATATTTTTAAAACATGTAAATATGAATATATATTTATATCTTACACATATATCTAGGTATACAACTAGGTCAGCTTATCCACCACCTGGAAACAATTCTATTTCCTTTTCTGTTAGCCCTTCACATACCTGGAAGATAATTTTCACACTCTTCCGCCTCGGCACAAACATCTGCAGTTCTGATAATGATTGTGCTAGTATAATTTTCTGGCCTCTTGAAACTCTCCCCTCATTTCTCTAGACACAAAGTCTGTTACCTGGTCTGGCACCTAACATGGCCAGGAATACTCACAGTACAACAGGATTAGCACTTCTTGCGTCTATTTTTTTCTGTTAATGTTAAGACTTGCTTATCTTTCTAAAAATAACCAATTTCTTTTCCACTACTTTTCTAAATTTTAAATGTATCATCTCTGTTAAGCAACAGCTCTTGCCTTCTCTACTTGTATAACTGATCATTAACAAAAATGAAGGACTTTCAGGTCCGGGATGTAGCTCAGTGCCACTGTGCTTGCCTGGCAAGCACAAGATCCTGGGTTTGATTTTTTTTTGTGGTACTGGGGTACCACAAAAAAAAAAAAAAGAAGAACTTTACCCCAAACCTTAGTGAGTTTTGTTATGTTAGTGTTAACCTCTCCACCCAGTTTTGTTTTTTTTTGGTATGGGGGATTGAACTCAGGACCTTGTGCTTGCGAGGCAGGTGGCAGAACCACTGAGCTAAATCCCCAGCACTTCCACCCAGTTTTCCAGTTTTTTTTGTTTTTTGGTACCAGGGATCGAACTCAGAACCTTGCGCTTGCAAGGCAGGCACCAGAACTACTGAGCTAAATCCCCAGCCCATTCACTCAGTTTTATACCTTTTGTCTAGGTGTGGAAAAGACTAGCCTCAGTTTATTGTGGTCTTTGCCAACCTGACAACCTTCTGTTCCCTGCGAGTTGCGAGTTCTTCTACCTATAGAACACTTTCTCATCTAGTGTTCATTTACCAGAGAATATATTACATTATATTCTTCAGCTGAACCTGTTTTACACACTCAGATTATATTATCCACTTATTTAACAAAGATTTTTCAAGGCCAACTATGTGTTAGTAACCAAGCCTAGCATTGGTTTTATAGAGATAAATAAGCATCATTGTTGACTGTATGGATTTATCCTCTAGTATTTATATTTTTATAATAATTTATAGGCTTATAATGAGCAGTGATTGTACAATCAGAATTATATATTTTTTATATAGTTGGGCACATTAGCGTTTGGTGCATATGTATTTATGATTGTCATCTCTTCCTCTTGGATTGCTCCCTTTACAAGGATGTAGTATTCTTCTTTGTCTCTCTTAATCAGTGTTGGTTTGAAATCCACTTGATCTGCAAAGAGGATACCTACTCCTGCCTTTCTTCGGGTTCCTGTCACATGGAGTATTGTTTTCCACCCTTTAACTTTCAGTCTATGAGTTTCTTTTTGAATTAAGTGTGTTTCTTGTATGCAGTATATTGTTGGATCTTGCTTCTTGACCCATTCTGTGAGTCTGTTTCTTTTGGTTGGTGAATTGAGATCATTAACATTGATGGTTATAACTAATACATATTGACTTATCATTGTCCTGACTTTTTCTTTTTGTTGAATTCTCCCCCTTTACATTTAATTTCTTGTTGCACCTGATGGATTCATTCTGCTGTGCTTCCTGGGGTTGTGATCCTTGTCTTTTCCTAGGACATTTTCTAAAATTTTTTGGAGTGCTGATTTGGTATTCATGAAGTTCCTAAGGAGCTCTTTGTCATGAAAGTATCTTATTTCTCCATCCATTTTGAAAGATAGTTTTGCAGGGTACATCAATCTTGGTTGGAGGCTGTTTTCCTTTAGAGCTTGGAATACATCACTCCAAGGTCTTCTTGCCTTGAGGGTTTGCGTTGAGAAGTCTGCTGTGATTCTGATGGGCTTTCCTTTGTATGTGATTTGTTTCTTTTCTCTAACTGCTTGTAGAACCTTGTTCTTCTGTTGAATTTCTGGAATCTTAACAATTATATGCCTATGTGTAGATCTTTTTTTGATCAAGGCCTGTTGGAGTCCTATATGCCTCCCTTATTTATATGTCAAGTTCTTTCCCCCTGCTTGGGAAGTTTTCTGCCATTACTTCTGTGAACAGTTTTTTTAATGTCATCTGGACTCTCTCCTGTTTCTTCATTGACTCCAATCAGTCTTATATTATTCTTCTTTGCATTATGGTCCCCTACAATTTTAAAGCAATTTTTCTTTTCCAGGTCACTAATTGCAATCTTATCCTCTATATCTGAAATTCTGTCTTCACACTGGCTCATTCTACTGTGTAGACTTCCAATGGAGTTTTTAATCTCCTGGAAATCTATTTGCATCTGTTTTATTGATTCCATTTGTTTCCTATGTTGGGATTCCGTCATGTTCCTCAGCTCCTCTCTAGATTTATTAATCATGTCTTGCACCATGAGGACAATCTCTGCTGTTATCTCAGCTATTATTTCTGATTTCATTTTTTCCAGATCCTCTTTTGTTGCCAGTTCAGGGAGTCCAGGTGGTTGAGGGTAACCATCTCATTACCCTTTGGGATTGCTGTAGGTGATCTGGAAGTCCAGTTTTGAGACTAGTTTATGTGTCTTCTCATTTCAGTGGGGAGCAGGGGGTGTGCTACAGTGGCCCAGAAGCCTTCTCCTCTGTGCTGGGAGCGGTGTTACTTATTTCTTTTTTTTTTTTTTGTACCAGGGGTTGAACTTGGGTCCTTGCACTTGTGCAGCAGGCAGCAAAACCACTGAGCTAAATCTCCAGCCTGGTGCTACCTATTTAACATGGTTCCAGAGAGTTCGGGGTGTTCTGTTAGTTTCCAGAGAATTTGGGGTGTTCAGGTGAGGCCAAGAAGGTGGACAGAGTCTTGAGTTGACAGAGAGCTCCAATAACAGGTAGAGAGCAAGGGGTCAGAATTATATATTTTTTAAAACAACCAACCTTGATAATGCAAACATAGCAATGCATTCATTGTAGAATCTAGGGCTTGTGGAATATGGGTGTGTGTTGTACAATTCTTTTAACTTTGTGTGCTATATATTCAAAAATTATCATAATAAAACATTGAGGAAAACTTTGCCTGTTCTTCTTAAGCTATATTTACTTTAATTTTGATCCATGGAATTGTACCTATACCCATATCTCTCTTTTCAACTCCTTGGATTGGTTTACTTCCTTTTTCTTTATAAATATATTTTTTCAGGACGCCACAACCTCTTTCTCCCAGGGTTCCTGGGAAAAATTGTCACGTAGAGAAAACACTGAATCCAGGATCCAAACTCTCAGCTATCAGCTACTGGCTTTGTGACTCAGACAAGTCACTTAGTGTGTTTGAGCCTTTCTGGTTCTCATTCCTGAAACAGGGTAACCATGTTTACACCCAGGTTGTTGTAAACAGTAAGTAAAATCATGTATAAAATCACTTAGCATATTAAAAATGCCTTTCTCACGTCCATCCTTTTACCCACCTGTCTATCTTGTACACAGCTATTATTTCTTTCCTTAAAAAGCTGAATTAAGTAGATTGTATTTATTTATGCTATTCTATTCTTTTGCTCTTTGAAAAATGAGATTGTTAAAAACTTAGATCCATAATATGTTACTGCATGATTTTGTTTAGTAAATACATACCAGAAGATAAGAATCTGTCCATCACTTTTTTTTTCTTTTTTTTTTTTTGGTACCGGGGATTGAACTTGGGACCTTGTACTTACGAGGTGGGTGATGGAACCACTGAGCTAAATCCCCAGCCCTGTCCATCACTTTTAAGATTCCTTTTGTTCAGGTATGGAATTAATGTCATCTTGACCAGGTGGATCTGTAATTGCTGCTAAGTTGTAAATGTTCTGCCTTATTTTGTATGTTTATGGTATTGTCATTGTTTCCTGGTTGCACTTTCTGCAATGTTATTTACCCTTTCTAATTTCTGTAAAATTCCCAGATATCCTCTGAGAACAACT